GGGTTTTTTTTTTTTTAAAGGGTTGTTTGTGTTTTTGTCCTGGGAGTGAGTGAAGTTTAATTAGAAAGAACAATAATTAGTCTGATTACTCTTGTAACAGATGAAAACTTGAAGGTGGAGAATTCTAAAGCAATAACTAATTGTACATTTTAGAAATGTCTTTAGCCACTGAACATCGATAGCAATAGCATTGATGTTATTCAGTATTCTGAATTCTTAGTGGTCTTTCAGGCATTTTTTAAAAATGAAGAACAGTAGTTTAGTGCTCATGAGGGGATTCACAGTTAATGTAAATGGCTTTTGTAGTAGTATGCCCTGGAAAGGGATGACTATTAGCACATCCTGAGTATGCCAGGCAATCCCAGTAAGTCACACTGAAATATACACACAGCACAGTTGACAAAATAATCCTCTTGACAATGTGAACAATGCAATAATTCAAATTCCCAGACTCTGTGTGGTAGAATTATGCTCATTGTCACTTCAAATGCACATTACCCATTCAATGCACTACTTTCAATGTACTACTCCAGAATAAATCAATGCCTGGAGCGCTGTCCGTGGTCCTGAAGAAAGGTCGTCTCCTATCTTGCAGAAGTTCAGTTAGACAGGTGGAGTTGCTCTCTATGATGCGGAAGTCTTTCAGATTAGTTGATGGATGTAAATGAACCTAATTTAGCATATGTGCAAAATTGGTTCTTTGGGGACCAATTAATAGTAAGAAAAATTTATGATGGACTTTTTACTGTTTAATATACTGGGTAAGAACTTCATGAATCTGGAAGCTTGATCTTTCGCTTTTCCAACGAGACATCCAATAAATAATCCCACATAAACTAAATAGTTTACAATGCTAGATTTAAGTAGAGAAGTTACAACTGTAATGTCAAATGCCATTACATTAACAGAATACGTGAACAAAGAGTTATGGTACATTTTGTTTTCTCAGGTTTCATTACATACTAGCTATACCGCAAAACTGCAGTATTTTGATTAGTCACAACAGAGCATGTTATTTTCAGGTATTATATATCAATCATATTGACAGATGAAAAAACTAAGAATATTTATTTTTGCCCTGGCTGTCATTATTGTATCTGCTAGGATCAAAAAAGAGGGAGAACAAATAGAATAGAAACTAAATGAAACAACAAATACAGACGTGTTGGAGTATACATGTCTTACAAGAGATATTTTATACATGGACTGAAGGAGTCGCTAGATACCCTTGGTTTTTGCACAAGGTGTTCTTTTTAAAGTGCTCAAATAGTCAAATTATTTGATTGAATTGCCTGCTACACTGCAGAACTAGTCATTCATGATACTTATTTTTGACACTGCAGTTATGCCTCCATCTTTAAAGAAAAGTCAGTGCCCACTTAATGCTTTTGCAAAATGTAGCTCTATTTTTAAGTCAGCATTTTATAATATCTTAAGAAAAAATAGAATGAAAAAAATCACTGTGATGGAATGAAAACATTACATCATTTTCTTGCTATCTGGAAGAAATAGTACTCATATCACTCCTTCTTAAAAAAATAGATATTCTTCAAATAAGGTATAATCTTATAATTTTTTCATAAGGTTTAACCTATGCCCTGTTAGTTGGTTGTGAAAAAACAATTATTTTAAAATACAGGTCCAGCACTTTGCCTTTTGTGCTACTTGACCACTTAAAAATATTAATATATAATAATATATTTATTACTAACCATCTGGGTTTCACTTGCTAATGTAAAATATTTGGATTGGATAGTTTTATTTCTATGTCTGGAGTACAGTATATTACCTATTTCAGCAGTAAAATGTATTTTCATGTTAAAAGAATATGTATTTCTGTACTTAAAAAAAATAAATTTCAAAGCCAAGACAGTCACTGCCTAAAGACTCTAAGTAGAACACTAGACAATAAGGCATTTTTAGACTAATTGATACTCAATGTTGCCCAAACTGTGATCCCATATTCTGCCTCTGAAAGAAAAACATATTCAAAAACCTAAAATGAGAAGAAATTTGAGTGTAGGTTATTGAAGCCTTAAGAGTTATACCAACTTAAATATCATTGTCTTTGTATATATGCACAATTATTTTAGATGAGTTAAAAATATGGGTGGGAAAATAGGAATCCCTCATTTTAATTCACACTTTTCCTTCTAAAAGACCACTTGAAGTCTGTTTTTTATTCCTGAGTAGTAATCAAGGAATGTCCACTCAAGTTTTTAAAGACTATCTTAACTTCTGCAATTGCACTCCAATCTGTATTCACTCCTGGGCAAAAAAAAAAATTTTTTTAAGAATATAAACAAGACCTTGTTTCAACCTAAACACAGGTTACATTTGCAGTAAATTCTTCTGCTTAGACCACTTCCTTTTTTTTTTTTTTACAACTCCTAGGCAAAGTGACTTTGATTTAGCTTGTCATTTATTAAAATTCATCAGTTGATTGTACGAAGTCTGCTTGTATACACCAGTCACTCTCTTAGCAAAGACTCTTATGGAAAATAAAAGCACTTTCTCCATGTAAATAAATCCAACTTCTTTCTTGAAACTCAAAGCGGGCGATGAGATCGGTTGCATAAGAGATATTGGGAAGCTCACTGGCAGGGAGCCTTAAGAGGCAAGCAGCTATCTCAATTTTTCTCACTTAATCTTGGCTTCACGTCAGAAGCTGTGCAGCAGTGCAGTAGAATAGGGCCTGGCAAAACCTTTGCGAGCAAAGCGCCTTTTGTGCTGGGACTGTGGCTCGCCACCGACGCTCGGCGGTTTCCAAGGCTGGATTTCCCATTGATTTCCTCCTCCTTTGCTTCCCCAGGCTCGCGCGGCCGGACATTGTGGGTGTGCGTGCTGGATTTCTCCCGGATGCTCCCCGACTAACATGGATGTCCCACCATCCCTTGCAGTGGAAGGTTGCTCCTTGGCGCAGTGAGTGAAGAACATGCAGCGATTGCTAATGGGTTTGGGAAGCGGAGACTCCTTCCTCTCTGTGACCATGCCGTGATCGTGTCTGCGGCCACCACTCGACGCATCCTCATTCCTACCCGAACCGGGAGCCTAACGCTAGATCGGGGAAGTGGGAGCCGCGCGTGTGGACACAGAAACACCATGAAGATTATTTCCCCGATTCTAAGTAATCCAGTCTTCAGGCGCACCATTAAACTCCTGCTCTGCTTACTGTGGATTGGATATTCCCAAGGAACCACACATGTATTAAGATTTGGTAAGATCCCCCATTCCTCTCCATTGCCTGGTCTCCGGCTCCGAGGCAGACGGATGTAAACAGGCGGGTTCCCTCTTACAGGCGGGTGGGCTCAACGTATTCCGACCTGTTCGCTGCTCCATAGCCTCCCGGGGTTTTAAAGAACCGCGTGTGCTTTCCGTTTCGTTTCCTTTTTTCCTTCTTTTATTAAAAAAAATAAATAAATAAAAAATAGCCACGGGAGGATGAAGTGAGAGCCAGTGTGTGGTAGTGGTCGCTGCATTACCTCCACCCCGTAGCCTGAGATGGTGGTGACGCTGGGGGCACAGCCGGCGGTCGCGCCCGCCTGTCTCCGCGGGAGTCTTCCGGGGCTTGGCGGACTGACCGTTCGCGCTGGGGCTGCACGCCTCTCAGCTTGCGGGGCAGACGAGTCAGTACCTGGTAACTCTTTGGCAAGTTGGCGTCTGCCGCTTCGGTCGGGGACCCGGACAGGTCCGCGAGTGGAAGGAGCTCACCCTTTTGATTTCTTTTGTCATCAGACAGCCTTTTAGGCTAATTTCACCGCTCTCCAGTCCTTGGTTGCCTTTTTTGGGGAAACGGCGCTTGTAAAAATGTTGTTGTAAGGTAGTAGGCTCTATTTAGCAAGAGGAGGCTGCTGCTTAGCCGAAGTAAAATAGCGTCCTAAGAAAGGGTTCTGTTTGTTTTTAACTTGTGAGCCCTCCTCTCTCAGCTTTCTTAGAGTCCTGATCTAATGAATGATTAACAGTGGTGATTGGGGAGGAGAGTAGTTGTGTGCGGGAGTCTGAGTGTGCGTCTTTATTTCATCGAGGCATGATAAAAGAGTGGAGTGGCAGTTATATATTAGGGGAATCTATTGCTTTCCTACAGAATCAGGGTTCTTTTAGAGCTCGAAGGAAAATCTAAACGTGGGATTCCTGTGAAAACGCTGGTCAGGAGATTTGCTTGGAGGAAATGAAGCGTGGGCAACGCTCAGCTGCTGTGAATGTCCAATGGAGTTTTAGGAGGAGCAGGACTAGTCAGGGAAAGTTCCCTTAAGTAGATGGGAGTGAGAGAGGAGAAAACCAACTGAGTAAACGCTCCCACAGTGGGAGCCTCCTTTGACAGTTCAAGTGGATTTAGACCAAAGAGTGCAAGAAACCATATAATCCTGAGTATGTGTCTCTGAGATAAAAGCAGATACATTAAGTCAGTCAAATTTAAATCAAACTGATTGCCTGCATCTCCTATTATGTCAACAGCATCTTCTCTCTTTCCTTTTTCCCATGTGCTTTTTCTATAATGATAAAATCTATCATCTCTCTTGGGCTTTGCATTGCCAGGATAGGAATGCTTTTCACATAATAAAAAAAAGGAATCTTAGTCTCCCCTTCCCTTATCCAACACATAAACACCTGGAGTCCAGAAGGCTGGTAATGACAAAGACAGACAACAGGTTATATCCAAATTCCAACTGTTGCAGTTTTGTTTTGTTTTGTTTTTTGTTTTTTGCCTTTTTTTTTTTTTTTTTTTTT